TTCAAAGACTCCAGGAGATCGGTTGGGGGAATACATGATACATTCTTACGAAACTGCGACTGCATGAACAATTTTTTGAGTTTGGTGAAACCTCTTTCTTGAAATTTTTCATCATGAATAACACTGCAAAATGCTTTTCATGTAGTAAGTGTTTCCTAAATTATCTAATCCAATTTTCTTCGCGAGATTTCCAGGACAACTGTCTACTGATTCGTAAGAAAAAATCTGCCAAAATCTGATAATAATCATGTTTTTCTTTGATCGTACAAGATAGTTTTTTCCTTTTCTTTTTTTCTCTAAGCCCACTCAGACTGAAAATATGAAGTGGGTCTCTATTGGATTTGTTATTCTGTTTGTAACCCTTTTATCGGTAAATAAAAAAGTAACTGTTATTCATATTTATTGGAGCCTCTGGAGACACCCTATATTTTGTTTCATGAGAGAGAGAACATTGGCAGATTGAGATCTTCAGATAATGTGGTGCTGCAGGTTTTTCCTGGTTTTCATGCAGCTGAAAAAGCAAATGCGCCACTGGAATCAATAAAGTCGTCCCGGAGCGCCAATTCATTTTTATTGTTGTTTTATAATTTTATGATTTGTTTTTGGAAGTGATAATAAAAACTAATTTACCTATCTCAAAAAAAAATGTATGTATTATGTCTTGGCACGTGGATTGCATAAATGTGTTCTTCTTGATTGTTCAATTTTATAAAAAGTTTCATAGGAACTGACTTGTTAATCTGTTCAAAGGAAAATATTATGGATATTAGTTGTTCATGGGTTTATACGTTCATTTTTCTTGATTTTTAATATCATCAATTTGGCTTAAATATCTATTGGACTAGCGCCTGTAATATCTCCAAAAATATTGAGATCAAGTATGTTTCAGTTGAAGGTATTAGAACCACTTTCTAAAGTGATATTCATAGCAGATTGGAAAAAGTTTGCAAAGAAAAATAGAATATTTTTATTAGTTGTGAAGTTGAAGTTGTTTTACATCATAAGCAAGCTCTTCACAATAAATTTAAAGCAGGACCCCCTTTTCAACATGAATAGCGTCAAACCGATAACCTTTCATTTGAAGTCAGTTGCTGAAAAATAAGAATACTAATATATCATGGAATAATCAATGAGAACAGTTTTATACTGAACATGGAAACCAAACACCATAAAATTCAGTCTAAATTTAATCAACCTCGAACTTTTCGATGGAACTCAATTCCACCTTGAAAAACTTAATTTTATTAGAAATAAAAACTAGCTCCGTGCCAAAATAAAAGCCTCTGAAGTGGCCTGTTTTTCTTTGCCAATTAAGTTCGCCAGTTTGTTATTTTTAGATCATTTTTAATTACCCTTTGCTTTTAGAGAGAATCGCTGTTTTTAAATGTTTTTACAGCGGGTATTGTAGAGCCGCTCCTTCATCGATCCCGAGAGCTTTTTCTCTGTCCCGCTTGCAGATGTTAATTGATATTTTGTCGCCAGTTTCTTTTATTCCATTTTGCTCCATTTCATTCTTTCATTCTTTCGGCTTTCAAAGCCGTTGGATTGGATTAATTACTATGAAAGATGGTCCACCGGACGGAATAATTGGACTACTTCGACGACCATTGATCTCGGCCGAAAAATAAAATGGAGAGTTGCTGTGCCTTATTGTCCAGTTACCCCACGTTGAGAAAGAGTTATTTAATCATTTCAAAGAAACATTCCTCAATATACTCATTAGTTATATGTATATATTGTTTTTCTTTTATTATATATCTGTACAAATACAATACAAAATATATATGTACAAATTTCACACCAACTACTACTCCTTTTTCTATTCGAGGAAACCATTGCCGCAAGGCGGCGCTGTAGAGCTCAAGGAAAATAAAGAAAATGTCAAGAGTCATTTTTACACCGCATATGTTCGTATGCGGTATAAAAGGCTTCCAATATCCATAATGTCCCAATCTGTTATTCTATTGCACATTTTTACCTTTGAATTTGAATAAAACAGTCATATCTTCTAAAAAAAGTGAAGAAAACTCCAAAGCCTCAGAAAAGTAAATTTCGTACCGCCTGATTTGGATTTGAGACATGGTTTCACTCAACAAGTTTATGAATATAAATGTCAGAAGATAAATGTACATAGATATATTAATGCATCTTAGTTTCAGTTGGGAACACAACCAATACACGCTAAATTCGAAACATCGCCAGAACACTTAGTGTCACGACTATTGTTAAACTTAAACCAGTCCGTTTCCGAGTAAAGACACGCCCGAGAAAGCCATTGTATGGCGAAACACGTGTNAACGGCAGAATCAATCATTAAAATACTAAAATTGAAACTACTTCGTTCACTCTTTTGAGAAAGATTTTAAACATAGTATTTATTAAGCTGATAATTATACTGTGTAAGAATGAAATCCGGGATGGTAGGCCATAGTCGAAATGAACTCTTAGTAACAAACATTTCGTCTGCTACTGCGGCAAACATATTCAGAGGTGTATGCGATCGTAAAAGCATATGTCGTGAACCCTGTAAATTTTTATAATATCCAAAATCTCCAACTACGATACTCCATCGTACATCTAGACTTTCAAATTCCGTTAAAAATATCTATATTAGAAGAATAGACACACATATATTCAATATTGGTGTCCTACGTGAATTATGAATGAGACATAATTGTATACATTAACAGCTTTATCACCTCCTTCAACACGTTAATAAGAAACATTGAGATATTTGACTTGCCAAATGGACATAATGTTGGAAGTATCTTCTTCTGCTTTTCGAAAACTTGGAACACTGTTCCAGACCAGAAAACTGTACATAAACCTGCTTCATAAACCTTAGATCAAACCTTCTTTGGTATTGTTCTCATGTACGGAGCTCTGCTCCCAAACATACCCTGAAGTTGCTGAAATTCCATCCAGAAAAGAGCCATCTGCCTGATTGAAGGCGCGAACATGACGTGCAACCTTGATAGCCTGTAACACGAAGAAAGGTTGGAGATTTGTCTCTCTTCTATAGATACTTTCACGGGAAATGTTTAAGTGACTTGGCACATTTGGTACATATCAGAAATACGCGACGGACTGTGGCGGCTCATCGTTTTGAGGTTCAACTCTGTACACCACGAACTTCACTGTTTGAGAACTCTTTCATCTGGAGAACTGCGTTTATGTGGAATGAACTTCCTGAGAATGTTTTTCCTAATAGATTTATTCACCAGCGATTAAAATCTAATGTTAATCGCTACTTTCGCACAGGCACAGCTCTGAGAGCGCCTTGAGTATTTTCCTGTAGTGCTTGTGTTTTGTTCTTAAAAAAAACATTTCGACGACGATGTGAATGAAGTAATACACGTTTCCTTCAATCCAAGAATCCTTATCATGTTTTGGAGTCTGCTTTCACAATTTCTGAGAATGCAACTGTATGTTAGCGACACTTCAGACCACTTAAAGATGTGATGCATGACCATCGTCATGAACTGATTTTAGTGGAAATACTCAGTAATATTAATCAAAACTGTTTATTATTCAATCAGGAACAGAAACAAGAATGGCTTTGAAAACTTTGCCAGTGCCAAGGTAAGGATCAAGTTTCGATTGAAATCGCCATTTATGTGTGTTGAAATGAATCTGGAAGTAATGGACAGCTTTTTTATACAACGAATGATGAGCTAGATCTACTTCTTTTCATTTTTATTCATCATTCTGCTATTAGTTCTGTTTCCGACCTTGGAAATATCTATCCCATAACCCCGAAGGAATTATCTCTGCCAAGGTCGACGACATTAAATGGAATATTTTCCACAAGGAGAAAATAAATTAAAATATATCAGACTACAACAATTTGTGAACAGTTTTTCTATAGGAGAACATTATTTGCACCTAATTAAGATAAACTACAGAAAATAAAAAATAAACATTGTATACATTGAAGATGCATAGACAGTTTATGGGAAATTTTTGATGGAAATTTGATCTCTTCAATACAAAAGGGTACGATTTCTCATCTTTCATATATGAAGAGTTCCATGCAAAATATAATCGCAACAGTGCTTGTGCATGTACATATAAATAATGGTGAGTAAGATATGAAATGAAAATCTTTAAAAAAACTCGTGAATTGTCTCTTCTTCCCCTTACAAGCCACGCGCTAACCACAAGAACTTAAACTACCCCAGCATCATAAACCCAAATACCACCGAGATAATTCCGACATTAACATTGACCCCATCTGCATCTTTAACCTCCGATTTTTAGGCACACGTTTGCCATTGCCGAATTTGCAAACTAAAACTATTCATCGGGGGCCGAGATGAAGAGGGAAAGTAACGACCGCGTTTAAAAAACAAAGGACAGTCGAACATCTGCCCGTCGACCTGGCCACTGTCCCTAAATCTGACCTTTTGTTAGTTGACCCTTAATCCTGGGCTATTTCCGTGTTTGCACGCTGCTGTCACTTTCTACCTGGTTCATTTTCTTTTGTTTAATCGTGACCCCTTTCCACTCCGATTGATGGGTATGTTGTTTTTTGTCTTTCTTCGAACGAAGAAGGGGAATTGTGATTAACGTTTTTTGGTGTACTTGGTCGTTATTTGATACAGATGCACCAAGGTATAATTGAATGTACTCATAATTGCAGAGGGTTGGGTTCACCTCTTTTGAATGAAGTGTGTGAATCTAAATAAAATATGTTGGTCGTGAGAGCATCTTGGAAAGAATAACATTCATTACGATTGGCATCTTCACTTGTTGTTTTTCCATAGGTAGATATTTCGTCTTACTAATGTCAAAAAAATACTTATTTTTTAGGAGAAGAGTAAAACTGATATTGGTAGCACAATTTTGTTAATCTGTCATAATAATGAGCTGAAATGTTTTAAATAATATAAACATTATCAGAGATATCAAAAATTAGTTATTTCAAAAGACGTTTGATTTTTCTCCTGAAAAACAAGGATTTTGTACTTATGTGGTATCTTTTGAAATTGAAATTACTATTTAAATTAAACACTGTGTTTATTGGAGAACATTGAAATCAGTGAATTTCATAAGAGTACTTTTTGGCAAAACTTCCATTATTTTCACATCGCCCGCTTCACTTTCAGTAGTCAGTAGTAGAATACAAGTTTGATTATCGTAGTTGTCATATGCACCTTTGATAAAATGTCACTACAACAAAAAATGTTTTTCATCGACCTCAAATTTGGGCATTTTCACCTTCCAAAATCTGAAAAATTGTAATGAACAGCTTTATACAGGCTAATAAATTGCACCTCGATACGATACTGAGTAAGTATTTTCCATAAAGAAATATGTTCTGTTTATCAGTAACTTGTTTATCATGTTTATTAAATACTTTTGTGAAGATGAATTCTGTCTCCACCTTCAGTATTGGACAAAATTCACTGATACTTGCAATTCATTTTATTTGGTTCGCCACATATTCGCATGTCTTGGACAGATGTCAAAGGAGTTTTGAAATATGAAAAATGTCAGTTTTTTTGATTGACTGCTGAAATATTCGATGTAGTAGAAAGTGTTATTGGATATTAGTCTGTTGCAATTTCGCTACTATCCATATTTTCCTTCAAGTTGGATAGTCAAGTTGGACTTTTTTTAAAATACATGTCTCTTTAGATGTAATAATACGATGATTATTTGAGCTCACATATATTAAAGTGGGGTCCACTGGCAATCATGATTGTCCTCAACTCGATCTTAACCGTCTGATTTCACAATGCGTTCTGAAAATGTTGATCCTATTACTTGTCCATTTCCAATGTATACTCGGTGATCATTTCCACAAATTTTTAAAGGTCTTGAAGTTTCCCCAATATTACTTTCATTGGAAGAACAATATATTTTTAAAGTGCAATTTTTTGCGTTTTTTTCTTCTGTGTTGTTATATTTTGTATGTGTGAGTATATAGATCTCAGTCAGGGCCGTAGTTTGTTTTGGATTTATTCTACGACAGGGGGTTCCAGTTTTACCTTATGAGGTATAAGGTCACAATTTTTCATCGAATAATTCAGTACCATTTATATTTATGATTTACTGAATATCACCTCAACTTTTGAATTTTACATTCAGACCTAAATCCATTACATCAATTTTTTATTTGGAAGTTTTCTTCAATATTGGAATCCAATTCACCCTGCTATTCAAATATTAACCTTTTTTTTATTATAGCTCTGATAAGTTTTCAATGTAAGTAATACAAAAGTATTTTCATGTACCTAGAAAAATTGATATCACATTCATTTAATGTTTCTTCTTGACGTTTATACGTCTTAAACTCAGGATGTATAAACTTCTGAAGAAGTTAGCCACTCGCGCCAGCAAAACGTCAGGTAGAAATTGTGATTGTGATAGTAAATTTCATACATACAAGCAGATCTCCAATAAAAGCTTAGGTTGTCCGGAGCAATACCCACATCGATCCGTTTTCATTTTTTTGTTCACTGATTTTGGAGGCTCAAATTGAAGATGTGTAATCTTTCTTTGTCCCAACTGTAAACATTATCATAGATTTCCATCAAGTATTGGCCAATTTCATCACATATGATGATTATTCATCATTTTTGATTGATGCGAATGATTGCGGGCTTTTCTTTCAGAAGAAATTCACTGAAATATTATGCCCTATCATTTGAAATTGCATTAATTATATTAATTGCATTAATGACATTATCGTTATTATTTGATATTTTTTGTTTTGTTTCATCGAACAACAACAAAAACTTTTATTATTTGGCAATACAGTCCGTAGGACGAGTGATTTTTTCTTTTGCTGGTTGCTCGATTGCTCAACAAAGTTTGAGTTTGAAAAAATAGAAAATGTTTAGGTCGAATGATATTCAGCTGGAAATTTTTCAGCTGAATGCATCGTTATAAAAACAAAATATTAATTCTGAAATCGAATCAATTTTATTACCCGAAAAACGAGACATTTCAACAAGAATATTCATTTGAATATTCTGTTTCGAATATTTGAACGGGATAAGTAAATAGCTACACTCGAAAATAGGATTTCATTGCTAAAATGCATCGTTCCTTGACATGAGACCGCAGGGTGGCACCTGACTTATTTGACGCGGCTAGATTCATCAATAGTACGTCGCGTTATCTTTTCGATTTCAATGAAATTGTAACTATTCAGAATAATGTTTCGATCCTAATTAAAAATTAAAAACAAACAAGTATTGAGATTTCGGAATATAATATAAATTGTTGGTATTCCAGGTGGATTTTGAATTAAAAATTCGTTTTTCATTTCGGTCTCTTGTATCTGTTCATTGTATTAGTCATTTTCATTTGATTTACTTATTCACTTGAGTTGTCCCAGTAGAGTTAGTCAATGCCATGATCATAATATTAAATTAAACCTGTGTCAGAATCATATTTGAATCATATTTGAATATCTGATTCTATTGGTTCTGAAGGGTTTTTCCTACAACTACTTACTTCAGAAACATTTTATTTCGTTATTGATTTTTATTTTTGTATTATAAATTCTTGTTAGGAAATTAACTTTTCATAAACTACACCTCACGATTTGATCTCCACAAACTCTATTTGAAAAATATATCACGACATGTTTCACTAACACAATAGCTTCTTCAACATTTATTTGAATTCAAATCATTGTCGTGATGTCGTGATATATTTTCCAAATAAAGTTTGTTGAGATCAAATCGTGAGGTGTGGTTTATGAAATTACTATGGATCTTCATCAAGTAACGGTCGAATCAATCAGAAAAATATTAGGAAACGCTAGTTGGAGTTCCAGAAAGTCACATTCGTTGTGGCACCTCTTGAACATTTACTACAAAGTAAACAAGTGAGGATTTTTCCAGCAAAGACGAGATAGACTGTACGGAATCATTCAATCCAGAGTGGTCAGTAGTATTGATACTGCTATTGTTTTGCTCACGAAGAGTATTCAACAAGAACCCCAAGAATTCGGAGCAATCCTCTTGTTGTCCTAACAAGTATCTAGTGGACTTCAAAGACAGAAAATCAACTTTTCATACCTCTATTATCGAGCAGTCATCCAAAATATCCATCTGCTTGGGTTTTTTAATGTTAATTATTTCATTTCAAGTTTTACTTAGCATTTTTGTATTTTTCCATCGCATATCATTAAAATGCCCCCTTCTCTCGAAAAGAAAGTTTATTTCCAAAAAAAAAAACAGATGCATATTTAGAACGAAGCCCCTTGGGATGTTTCTAGTAGGTACTCATGGTTAACACCTTGGATGGATTTAGACGAATAATTCGAGTACAAGTGGTTGACCCTTCTCGACTATATTTATGAACATTACTTCCAAGACATTTCTTGGCCGAGACAATCATTCTGTTCAGAGATTTCGGCCGGGAACTAATCCTCGCCACGAGATTACTCTGTTATTTTCTGTTTTTTCATTTGTTGGTATTTTTAATAAATTTCATCATTTGTGTGCCTGTGCCTGTCTTAATTATAATTCACCAGTCCCGATAGTTCAATTTGAAAAAGACAGTGACAGTGATTAAAATTGTGAGAATGATGCATATCTAGGCACTGGGAGTCACGTACGATTCTAGTTCCAACGCTGTTGAAAAGAAGCATTTCATTACTGTAAAACTTTCTTTTATTAGCGGTTTGAAGGAAATAATCAAGATAATATATTTTGCTCAAGAAAATTATTCTTTTGATTCCACATTTTGGACAATACATATTGGCAGAACTGCCATATTGCTGGGAATGATTCACTGCCGTCTCCCACCGATAATAAAAATAGGGCGCTCACTTTTTACTCCCCATTGCATTTATTAACACCCTCAAATGGTTTCACCCCACACCACCCTCGCTTACCGGGACCAAAGAATGGCCAGATTAGGCACACAGCCATTTTTAAATATGATGCATCTGAGTTCTTTTGAAACTGCATCGGCACTAGGGTGGTGCTTAATTACGTCTCCGATCGAATTTCTTGCAGTTTTTACATGTAAGGGCGTACAACAGGATTTAAGGTTATTAAAAATAGAGAAGACGCAGTGGTATTAAAAATGGGTTTTGTTAGGTTATCGACAGCCAGAAGGGAATTATTTTCATCATAGGGATGATGAAGTGGAACTTGCAAATGTTCAACTTCGTTTATAGTAAAGTTCTAAAAATACAAATATATCCTTATTGACAAAACTTTGGAGATTGAACACCAATTTGACACGATTTTCACACACTTTACTCAAATCTGTTAAGTATTTCATAGTGAAACTCTTGACTCATATTTTCAATAATTGTCTAATATCTGGTATTTTTCCATCAATTCTCAAAATTTGTAATGTCATACCCAGTGTACGAGAATGGAGATAAAAAATCTATTGATAAATATAGACCATATATTACCATTGAAGGGTAATATTAGTAAAGTGTTCGAAAAATGTATAAAAATAGAGTACTTAGTTACCTTTCTTGACAAATTTTGTCAATTAAACAATTTGGTTTCAGAGAAGGAATGTCAACAGAAGATGCAATTTTCAGTGTAACTCGTAATATATATATATATAAGGGTCTGAATACTAACAAAAAAGTGATTGGAATATTTTATATATGAAGAAAGCATTTAATACTGTATCTCACTCTAAACTCCTGGAGAAACTAACACAATACGGAATAAGAGGTGTTTGCCTTGAACTTTTCCAACAAATAACAAAGTGTGTTATTCCTCAAGGCACGGTTTTAGGACCTGTCCTTTTTTTGATTTACATTAATGATTTACTAAATACAAATCTGGATGGTGATCTTTACTCATATGCAGATGACACTGTATATATAGTGAATGGAGATAACTGGGATGAGACCATATCGAAGGCTGAAGTTGGCATGTCAATTTTGAAACATACCTTGAGTTATGACTTGCTCACACTTAATATCATGAAAACTAAGTTCATGACATTTTCATGTAATGTAAACTATCAACCAAAATTTGATGAAATAAAAATTTATAGTTCGAAATGTTTACAGAAACATTTTCAATAATGCAATTGCACTGTTAAATTAAACAGAACCCCAGAAATAATATATTTAGGAATTTATATAGACTGTTTATTGCCTGAAGTGAAATAACATTTTCTTGAACTAACAAAAAAAATTTAAAATGCCTTTTAATGAATTTGAATTTAATAAATTTCAGTTGAAATTTGAATCTTCTAAAGCTTCAATATTGATTTCAAAACTCAATAAACATGATATCAATCATATTCAAAGTATCACCAGAATTCAAATGATTCATATGAAATCAACTGAGTTGTTCCACAGGGATCAAATTTGGAATCTCTTCAATTGGTTTTGTCCACCAAAACTTTAATTCTGTTCACGCTTTGCCGTATCAACTTTTATTACATCATTAGAATATGATCATTGAATTTTTATATAGGACATCCTCAACTTTGAAATGTAAAATTAAATATTTTTTT